CAAGATGGTAAAGAACGTGTAATCTCCTACTTCAGCCAAACTCTCAGTGCTACGCAGAAGAAATGGTCTACCTATGATCGAGAGCTCTGGGCAATTGTTACAGCTGTTCGCCATTTTCGTCATTATCTGAGACACCAACACTTCACTATCCTGACAGACCACAAACCTCTTTTGGCTCTCAGGAAGTTCCCAATTCAAGACGATGCAACTGGGAAGAGAACACGATGGATATTGGAACTCAATTCCTACACGTTCAGCCTTATTCACAAGAAAGGACAATCACACAGAAATGCAGATGCATTATCTAGACGCCCGAGTCAAGAGAGCCAAGTCATTCCAAGATTGACGGATCAGCTACTCAAGCACATGGTGACCAATCCACTGTGTAATGCAGTCGAGACTCGTTCATCAAGATCACGACTATCAACAGACGCATCTACTCCCAATGATTCAACGAGGCAGTCTGCACCAAACGTCCTTCATCCTTACCGTGGTGTAATCCTTGACAGTGATGTAGATGTTCAACATGAACAGCAACTAGATCAAGACATCAGTACAGTCATCGAATGCGTCAACAATGGTGAGCGGCCAACCATTCGACAGATCCGTAGACACAACCCCCGGGTTAGACGTCTCTTATGGCAGTATCCCAAATTCATCCTCCAAGATGGTATACTCTACAGGAAGAAGAAAGACAAGCTTGGTAATCTCTCATTCCAACTTGTCGTACCAAACTCCCTCATTCCAAGGGTACTCCAAGAGTTACACGGTGACCCATCATCCGGACATTTCGGCGCTCATCGCACAATACAGAGAGCAGAGTCAATGTGCTATTGGCCCTTCATGAACAAGGAAATCACTGATTTCTGCAACACATGCACAGCTTGTGAGTCTTTCCGGTTACCAACCCCTAAGCATCAAGCACCCTTACGTCCCATTACCACTACTCGCCCTTTGGAGATGGTTTTTGCCGACATTGCTGAGCTTCCAAGTTCAAGACGAGGATTTCGCTATATACTCGTTGTGACTGATCATTTCAGCAAATATGTCAATATCTTCCCAATGAAAGATCAGACTGCTCCAACCATCGCCAAACATCTGTTTGAAGAATATGTGAAAGAACATGGTATTCCAGAGACTTTGCACACCGACCAAGGTCGACAGTTCGAGTCGAGATTAGTGCAAGAACTATGCAGCAAATTGGGCATCAAAAAGTCTAGATCGACACCCTATCATCCCCAAGGAGCTGGCATAGTCGAACGTTGTAATCGCACCATCAAAGATCAACTTGCGAAGTACATTTCTCATCAAGGAGGAGAATGGGACACTCACATCAATCAAGTCCAGTTAGCGTACAACACAAGTACTCATGCCTCAACAGGTTTGACGCCATACTACATCATGCATGGCAGGGAAGCCCGTACACCTGCGAACATCACCTGTTCAACCCCCCCTCCATCGTCATCTGGCAAGACACTCCTCGAATACACAACCAACCTGTCTGAGCGATTGAGAAAAGCATGGGAGTACACCATACAAAATACACGACAGCAACAGCAACAACAGAAACGACAGTATGATGTGAAGAAACGCATTTCAAAGTATGACACAGGTGACTTTGTTTGGTTACATGACCCAACCAACATCAGGAACAAACTTGAACCAAACTGGAAAGGTCCTTTCAGAGTATCTTCCTCATCAGATGATGGACTAAATTATGACATAGTTCATGTCCATGATGAAAAGTTCAAGCGACGGGTCCATCATAATCGTTTAAAACCGCATCGAGCCAGAGCCCCACAAGTGATGTCAACTCCACCATCCCCATCAACCCCACAGCCTACGTCAATACATGGGACTGAGAGGACAACGACACAGTACCCACCAGGTCCCCCAGCAGAAGACGAGACTAGGAGAAAGGTGCAGTCAAATCAACCTACTAGCCATGGACCAGCCTACATCACGTGGTCATCTCGACCACCAGATCGCATCCTCCATCACGAGCAGTCGAACCATGACCGACCATCACGGTCAAGTTTGTCTGTTCGGCAACAAGCCTCAAACCAGCCAACCAGTTCAACAGAACGCATCCTCCATCACCGACAGTCAGATCATGACCAACCATCACGGTCAAGTTTGTCTGTTCGGCAACAAGCATCAAACCAGCCAACCAATTCTAGCCACCAATCCAGGCTAATTGACTCAGCCCCACTTCAGCAACAACCTAGGCCATCCCTGCCGACTACCCAAACCCAACATCAGCTGTCCTCGCCGGTTGGCCAACTTCAACTCAGACCCCAATATCAACTGAGGTCGACGACTCACCAATCCCAACTTTGGCCATCCTCATCAGCTGAGCAACCTAAGCCGACCTCATCCGCTGACCAACCTCAACCTCAGCCATCCTCATCAGCTGACCAACCCCAACATCAGCCGACTTCATCCGCTGACCAACCCCAACATCAGCCGTCCTCATCCGCTGACCAACCCCAACCTCAGCCGTCCTCATCCGCACGTTCGAGATCTGGTCGACAGGTTAAAGTACCCGCCAAGTTTCAAGATTACAAACTGTAAAGACTTTCGAGAACTAATGTTTGCAATAGTGATAGATGATTGAAAGACTTGCTGATTTTCACTTTTCGCTGTCATACCTTGCATTCGCCATGGCCCCATTATTTGTGATAATATGTAATTGATAGAATTCTTGGTTTTTGAACGTTTTGGAAGATTTATGATATTTTCGTAGGACTTGTCAGTAAAGATAGAATTACATTGTCAGTTTTTAATGTTTAGACGGGAAAAAGAAGAAGACAAACTTTCAAACATTTTGTCATGTGTTTTTCCATCAAATTTGTTAGTTACACGTCAATTGGGTGAACTCATTTTTGCTCCTATTTTTTATTTTTACAGAAAAAAAAAAGACTTAAATGTCAATTTTTGTTGCAATTTTGCAATTGTGCTGAATTTTAAGATACCAAAAGAAAAAAAAGAATGTGAGATTCAGACTGTATTGGTCACAGGGTTGACCTGAATTATTTTACAACGATGACTATATAAATGTGTCAAAGGAATTGATGTAATTAGTCAACGTGTGTACATGTTTACATTGTTTTCTGAACATTATTTTTAGTCATTTGACTTATAGTGATGTTTTTAGATATTTGGATTTAAAACAGATTCTTGATACATGAATTCATAAGATGTGTTTTTTCTCATTACATAAATCATGTGTAGTCGAGATTATATCGACCATAGACACGGTATTTGTATAATGTCTCCTTAAATCTGAGACAGTTTTGAAAGAGTTATGTCAGAATGCATGCATATTCTCTGTGTACATTGTATTCCATTATTCAATTGGCTAACTTATTCTAAAAAAAAAAAATTAAAAAAAGAAAAAATTAAGTGATTCATGAAACAGTGATATATTTTTCTTTAGGTGAAGACATTGCCATGTATTTTGTTTATAGTTTTGTTAAAAATTGCCAAATTGGGTATGAAGTATTTGATATTTTGTCATTTGTGACAGAAACAGGAAAAAAAGGAAATTATTTAATGTTTATGTCTACAAATCATCCGACTGGAATTTTCAGGGTGAAAAAAGATAGAACCCATTGAAGTTAGGACGTTGCTTGAAAGATGTTCATTGATGAAAGCATACCATTTTTTTGTATTCGCTATATGTGTGACCTTTCAAGTTAAACAGTTTAATTTTCCCTAATATGAATAGATGCTGTTCCTTAAAAAAAAAAAAGGGAAAAAAAGAGAGAATTGTACAGAAGGAATACTTCATGATTTGATGCGTTCAGGTATTTCAAGCAAATTTTATGTGACGCATTTTCTTCGGAAACAAATGCATGTTAATACGATGTATCTTTTAAAATGAGGACATTTTTCTGTGAAGATGGTATATTATGTAAGGTTTTAATTTCACTGATCCAAGTGGTTACTTGTGTATTTTACACTGTACATTTAGTTTTCCACTCCGATATGCTTTAGCGCACTCCTGACCTACATTCATTCTCTCCTGTCTGCTAGCTCTTGGCTTCTATTGTTCTGTCCCTATTCATTCATCCTCATGCACATTACCTGCTATAGCACCACACACACACACACTCTTCCTTATCTCTTAGCTATTCAACCCAGCACACATGGCACATGGCACTCTATCTTTTACAAGCTTTTCTATTGGTTACCTACTTATTGTCCAATCTTGTGATTGGTTATTATTGTTTGATGGACTGCATGTCAGCCATCTTGGCAGCCATTTTGTGGTTGGAATAAAAATCTATAGTGCAGCTCAAGTCCTCAACCATGTGAGACCACTTTTGTTTTGGGTGGGACTTTACACTATTAAAGGTACTATGTCCCTTTTGCAGCCAACCTCAAATGCTGTAGAACTTTGCAGGAATTATGAATATGTCATGTATGTCCTATCTGTGAAATTTAAACGTTAGCAGTGTCCTCGTATTCAAATTATGCAAGGAAACCCGTTTACTTGCTAGACTTCACTGTCAGACACTATTGAGTGACTGACTGGCTTTTTTTCTTCTTTGGTTTGGTAACATACATGAAAAGAGTTGTAAAGGGTACATGAGCATTTGTCTACATCAATAACCCACTTCTTGGCCAAGATTAAACTGATTGAATCTTTGCGCAGCATAAAACGTATGACCATTCGGTACAAATGTCTGTCTGAAAATCAAGACTATTACTTTTGGGCTCTATAGCCCTAAAGTCGATTTGACAACTAATAGTCATTATTTTCCCACTTGAAGACATTTTCAAGCCCCACCTTTTTTAGGGAAGTTCTAAATTAGTATTATCTTTCAAATGCAGTTGGAATTTAAATTTTTCATTTTTTTGGCCTGCAAATGGGACATAGTACCTATAACCATGTGTTATTTTATTTTTTCATATTATTTTCTTAAATCATGTAAACAACCCAAAGCTATGTCTGTGACGTTGGACAATCATTGTAATTATTTCATGTTCTGCAGACCTATGATGTTAGTAAGTGCACCCATGTCATCAGCTACAAACCAATCAGCAGTGAGAAGTTTATCTGCGGAGTTGCATCAGGTAAAGTGTGAACACCAAACTGCAATTTAATTTGTTTCATTGTTCCCACGCCAAATCGTGTAGCATTCTTTTATTCCTTATAAAAATTTAGTGCTGTTCATTGTTATGTTATAGATCTACATGCATTTTGCTTTTTAATTGTAAAAAAATTATACAATTCAGACTAGACTTCGAGACAGATTATTAATAAATGAAGCATTACATTAAATTAATGTATGCATTTTGCATGATAATTATTATTTCTCAAAAATATTAATTTTGTAAAGAGAACTTTGATAGGGTTACTTTTGCCAAAAAATTGGAATGTTCTGTTTATCAAATCGTCTTCTTATGACAGGAAAGTGGATCCTAAAGCCGGAATTTATCACAGACAGTTTCGACAAGGACAAATGGCAGGCGGAGTCTACGTATGAGTGGAGCGAGGCCGATGCGTCAGAGAACGTCCTACCGGGTCTCCTGACGGCTCCAAGGCGATGGAGGGAGAAGATTGCTGCCAGCGGACATGGAGCCTTCCACGATTGGAAAGTATTGCTCCATGTCACTAACGATGCGGTTCGGAGAAGGTATGTGTTTAAAACAGAGGTGCGCCCCTCCCCCACCCTCTTCCTGTGTTTATCATCAGAGAAATCTATATTTAAAGGTGAACACCAAAGGCTTAAAAAAAAAAATAGACAAATTACGTACCAATCAGAAGTCCACAGATTATAATAATGATAATTTTAAATCTTTGACACGTCACGTTAAGAAGTATAAGACAAAAGAAAATTCCCCTTTTGAAGCTGCTAAAACCAGAAGAAGCTAAGTTCAGCACAGGAGTTCAATATTTGTGACATCACATCATGTACGACTTGAGAGTTGTCAACAAAAAAGGGTGTTATTTGTCTGTGGCTGATTGGACTATTGTGCCAGTGATTTAGTTGATTACATTTGTTTAAAAGTGAGCATAGATATCTTGATTCTTGAAAGAACTTTTATGTAAGGAAAGAACATGTCCTTCATATCATAAATCTTTTTGCTTCGTATTTTTCATTAAAAATACCTTGAATTCCCTCCCCCAAAAAATTCTGAGCACGAAGATTCAAGGTGTACCGTATAGTCTGAATGCGCCTACCGTCCAGCCAGAACTTACTCAAGTTACTAAGTTTTTCATGTTTTAGTTATGCTAATTACCCTGCCAGCTGCATGGTTCTCAGTTTTGAGGGAATTTAACTATGTGTGAAATATATCTGCCTCAGATTACTCCAAAACTAATTAAAATCCCATTAATATGTGAAAAATCGTGGTGATCTGCCGACGACTGCATTTGTTAGGTTTAAGCAAGTAGGATTTAGCGGTACGGCCGCGTTTGGCCATTCACGATTGACTGATGAATAATGGGCATCTTTTTTTATCACAGAGAAAGTATATTAATAATAATAATAATAATAGTGGGTTCTTGTATAGCGCTCATGTCAGTCAGATTTGACCCTCCTGGCGCTCCCAATTTGGAATGCACTCCCTAGACATATTAAACAGTGTACATCTCTCTATTCATTTAAAGCTACACTAAAAAAACACATTATTTCACAATATAATGTATAAAGATAAAAAATAAAATAAAAGCGTTTTTTATAAAACTTTAGAAACTACATTAAATTTTGGTCTGACATTACATAGTAATACTGATGATTCAACATTTTGGCGCATGAGGACACTTGCACTTGCACAAACACGCACCACCCGCACCATTGTTTTTGTTTAGTTTCTCTCTTATCTCTGTCATTAACGTATAATTAGTAGCCTTATAAAGACGAGATTCATATGCTAATTCTATAATTATTTATATTGAATCAAACTGCTTATATTCACATTTAATTGTATTATTGTAATATATATATATCATTTGAGTGTCATGGCCCCTCTTCTTGTTACTTTGCCAATATTTCACAACTCATTTTTATCTTAGCTCGGTTGACCGTCTGCTCAAGCTTTTGCTTATAACGGCGACCTTCTGCTTTCTTTCTTTATACACGCAATGGCCCAACGTATAAAATTACTCTTACTCATGTATTATACATTTGTTTCTATATTTTGTATATTGTTTGCATACCTTATGTTTTATATAATTATCCATATTTGTCGTATAACTGATTTTGTTTGATTGCAGAAAATAAAGTCTTTGAAAAAATTATAAAAAAATAAATAAAAAAACAATTATTACCCTGGCTTGAGCACGGCTGCCATACGCCGCTCTATATTAACGTAGGATTATATCTTGTTGACCCAAGATGCTATATTTATAATATTTCAACTGAAAAAATGTATTCAATAAACTTCTAAGACATGGTAAAGCACTTTGTCTTAGCTTAGACGATAGATCAGACAAAATACAAAAATACAAAATATCCTGGAAATATTGTGAGACGAAAGACTTCATGCATGGCTGATTGTCAACGAAACGAAGTTTGTTGTTTGTTGCTACGGTGAAAACAAATTTGTTTAATAAAATTATGAATTTCCATAATTGTATCAAACGAATTCCTTTTCACTGGCTGCTTGCCGTAGCATCAAACGCAATTAACAAAAGACTTGACTCCGTTTCGTTGACAATCAGCCCGAGACAAAAGACCTGATGCATGGCTGATTGTCAACGAAACGGAGTTAAATCTTTTGTCAATTCTGCTTGTTGCTATGGCAAGCAGCCAGTGAAAATGAATTTGTTTGATACAATTATGGAAATTCATAATTTTATTAAACAAATTTGTTTTCACTGGATGCCTACCGTAGCAACAAACAACAAACTTTGTTTTGTTGACGATCAGCCATGCATGAAGTCTTTTGTCTTCTCCAGCCAATAAAAACCAATTTGTTTAATACAATTATGAAAATGCAAGCAAAAACAAACAGAACTTTGTTATTCCTGGCTCATTATTGTTGATTGAGGTGTCATATGAAAGGACAGAAAATGAACTTTCTAGAAATGTGGTTTTCTCTTTGAATTTCAGATACGGCTCGCCAAATAACTTTTTGGTATCCTTTCTTCAAATTTTTTTTAATCACTCATGCATGAAATATGCATCATATGAGTTGCATCAAATGAAAGAGGAGGGTCTAAGCTTTACAAATATGTGTCATTTATTTATTATAATTGTGATAAATGATAAAACATTAATATTTCTCTGTTTCGTTTTTTCTAGGACGCACTATATATTATATAGACAAAATCAATCCAAATTGGACAGGTTCTTGACTGTAATTTCCACATCCTCTTCTCCCTCTCTCTCTCTCTCCCCCTCTTTTCTCCCTCACTCTCTCTCTCTTTCTCTCTCCCTCTCTTTCTCTCTTTGTCTCTCTCTCTCCCTCTCTCTCCCTCTCTCCATCTCTCCCTCTCTCTCTCTCACTCTCTCACTCCCTCACTTTCTCTACCTCTCCCTTCCTCCCTCTTTAACTCTCTGTACTTCCAGAGTTCTTGAGGCGGGTGGAGGGCAGTGTGTCCCAGTGACTTTCCCCATCAAGGAACCCGCAGCACTTGTTTCTTTGGTCACTCATGTCATCGTGGACAAGTGCCACGAGAAGGACGTCCAGTGTTTAAAAGAAAGAGGCATCCAATGTCTACCTCCAGAATGCATTAAGGAGCATCTCTTTCAGGTAAGTATCCAGTAAGAATACCGAAGGTGTGTGAAGAAAGAGGAAGGGGGCCCTATTTGATTAAGTAAGCTAGACTGGCACCCTTGTCATCATCTACAATTGCCATTGAGAAGGACGTTCAGTGTCTAGAAGCAAGAGGCAACTCTTGTCTCCTTTCAGAATTCAATTCAGAGTATCTCTTTCAGGTAGATATGAAGAAAGAATACAAGGGTGGTGAAAGAGGGGCTATATTTGGGCCAGGTAAAACACACTGATTGAAACGTCAAGAATCAAGTGCTTCGTAGCAGAGCTCACCAGCCCTTCTCAGGACTTTTTCCTGTGTAAGAATTTACATGGTGTAACCCTGAAAACTGTCTCTACAATTCAGTATCTTACCATGAAAATTATCGCTTATTCTTCTCTCAATTATGTTCTAGGTGAGTGGTTTGTATTTTTGGCCCGACCTTTCTTAGTATTCCTTGTACCGGTAAGTGTTGTTTCTCCAACATAAATGCAGCATCTAGACACATAATGTAGTATCGCAGGGCTGCCAACCTTTGGAAAGAGTTTGGAGTGAGATATTGCGAGGGAGCGAAGCGACCAAGCCCGAGGGCACGAAACCCCCGAGGGGGGGGGGGGGGGGGGGGTGGTGTGGAAGGTGTGGAAAGGGGTAATTGTCCCCCTACCACGGTAGGGAGCTTTTACAATTTTGCAATTGAAATGGTGCAATCTGGTGCATACTTCAACCCTGATTCCACAAATACATAAGGCAGGATTCAAATAGGTTAATTGATTTCATGAAGTACACTGACCTTGAAAAATACAAACTTCCACATTTGTAAGTGCATTATTCCAAATCAACTGTCTTTATAAGCTTAGCAGTTGAACCTCAACTTATGATTATCTGTAACAAAATGGACAAATCCTCACTCAACAGGAACATGCATACTAAAAATTATAAATAGATATATAATATATAAAAACAATTAATATAAAAATTAATAAATAGATATATAATGAATATATAAAAAAATACTAAAAAAAAATAAATCAATACTGCACAATTTTCATTCTTCAAAATAAGTATATATAGGACGGCCCAGGCCCATTATCCGATCGCAAACACTGAGCCACCCGGGCCGGGCTGGGGGCCAGGCGCGATGTACAGCGATGACAGGCCATGGCATCGACACTCGCTTGTCGTGTCTCGCACAAAAACCCCGCTTCATAGTAAAGTGACGACGTCACTCGCACATGCAGGATAAGCCAATCGCAATTCACTATCTGGTCTTTGCGCGGCAAACCGAAACCAATTTGCATTGATGGTTTAGAAAACTACATGGGGTATGGACTATGTTGCGTGTTAACTAGTAATCCCACATAATTCCCTTTTTTAATTAAACTACTAAAAAGCAGTATCCCTCCAGACAAGAAAACACTTAATAAATGATCACATCCAGACAAATTGATTATGGTTAAAAACTGGTTCTATATTCTATAATTTCACATAAGATACAATGATTACAGAATTATCAGAAACCTCTTCTGTCTATCTCAACAGTGACAGACAAGTATCACTAGGCCCTTGGTAGTTACTATTAATAATCAAACATAGATAACTTCCAACAGCACATTAATGTAAAGGAGACTCAACTTAGTCACTATGGTATTAATGATTACCGCTGAATACAAGTCTCGAAATATCAGGAGTCTAGCTGTTCAGTACAACTTAAAACAGTACTAAAACAAGTCAGTTAAATATCATTCCCACTGCATGAATAATAACAGTCAAGAAAATACTACTCAAATCTAAGCTAGACAGCGTTTAGATTTACTTACATAGGCACGAAATATTGTGGTTCAAGAAACCGCTAAACAAATCTCTACTTGTGTATGTGTACGGAATGCACAACACGAGAATACAACAATATATCGGTGGATCTAGACTATAGCAGATCTAGATCAGTAGACCAGGCATAGATCTAGGCCTAGAACTAGTGCAATTATAAACATGTAAAATATGTGTTAGTAAGCGTACGCACTCAACAACAGGCACTCAGTCAGTCAAAATAAGGCCTCACAATGATAAACAATGCAAAGCATAAATCACAATATAATTAACGTTACGTGAGTCATTGGAGTTGAATTCAAAGTAGATCTTCTTCAAGTTCTAGGTAGATGTAGAAACTAGCTAGTCGAAAACAGTGGTCGACGAGCTGGTTGTCGATCGCGTAGGATATGCAGACGATGATCGACGCTAGGTGAATACCACGATGATGAAGACGGTGTTGAAGACAACGATGATGACAACAATGATGAAGACGACGCTGGTGAAGACAGCGATGATGAAGTCGACGATGAAGACGACGCTGGTGAAGACAGCGATGATGAAGACAACGGTGATGAAGACAACGATGATGAATCAGTTAACAGATGAATACAATGATGATGCAGTCAATGTCAATAGATCAACTTCAGTGACTTGCGATGCAGGTCGAAGAATCAAATGTCGAGACAATATATATGAAGTCGATGATAAAAGGTTGTCAAACAATAATGCAGGTGAGAAAAACGTTAGATCATATTAAATGTTCTATTCTCACTGCTGGTGAATTAAAGTGTCGTCAATGTTGAACATCGAGAGAGTCAAAATATATCTTGCAAAACGTACAAGATGTAAATAGGTGAGCACGTCCACCGGGAATGGTCCGGGGACGTAGCAGTTCAATCCTCGTTGGATACAATTTTCTAGGTACAAAAATCAACACAATAACAGCATGTGTGTATACCAATATTAAAACAGCTTACTGATTCCCGCACAGGAAAATCAGAAGAGCGCCAATCAACTACAGCGCGATTGGTTCAAAACACGCGCACATGTATGTTAATTAAGCACGTGATCTAAATACTTATGAATAAATACGCGTACATCTATGTTAATTGGTCATGTGATGAAAATACTAATGAATAAACATCGTTATATAATAAATCGAGTTAAAACCAGTTCTGAGGACATGGCGTAATACCAAATCCTCGAACTCTCAATGACTTCTAAAGCGGCCATTTTGGATTAAAAACACAATATGTATACCAGTGAATTATAAATGAATGCACTGTAACATTTGTCGCTACATTAACCCCCCTACTAGACCCGAGCTTGCGTAAGCTCCGAGGGGCGAAAATACACACTTAAAAATATAAAGGAAACATATGTACAAAATACATTAATATACATGAAAATAACCACTATTTATGCGACACGTTCAATGTAGTGAACCTGAACGTACCTCTGCGGCCAGTGGACGTGGCGGCCTGAACGTGTGACACGCGCAGTAGGTCGCGATTTCACCAGAGCAGAAGCAGGCGTAGGAGCAGGTGCAGGAGCAGGCGCAGGAGCAGGCGCAGAGGTTGCGCGAAGTGCTGTGCGCAGAGGAGAGGAGACGGTAGGCGCTCCCTCTAGAGGCACGTCAGCCGCAGTAGTCCTAGCCGAAACGCTTTCCAAAAATGCGGGTTTCAGTCGATCAATGCTTACAGAAACATGCTTGCCCTTTTGCTCAATAACGAAAAACTTCGGGTTTCGTTTGAGAACCTTGAACGGACCCAAATACGGAGGCTGTAATGGCTTACGGACAGCATCGATACGCAAGAAAATATGCGTACAAGTATCGAGAGACCTATGTACAAAACTGGTCTGTGGTGACCTACGTGTCGCTGTAGGCGCTAAAACAGACATATGGTCCTTCAAGCGTTGGACGTAGTCCGCGGGGTCAACAGTATCGTGTCGCGTAGGCACTATCAGCTGGCCTGGAAGACGCAACGCCGTCCCGTAGACTAGTTCGGCAGCGGAAGCTCCGATGTCTTCCTTAATAGCTGCGCGGATACCCAACATGACCAAAGGAAGGTATTCTTGCCAACGGTTCGGCTCGGGTTGAGATTTGAGAGAGGCTTTAAGTTGCCGATGGAACCGTTCCACCATACCGTTGGCCTGCGGGTGGTAGGCCGTGGTGGCTATGGTCCGACAACCTAGCAAATTAGCTAATGCAGTGAAAAGCGCAGATTGAAACTGACGACCTCGATCATGCGTAATCGTGGCTGGAGCTCCAAAGCGAGCTACCCAGTTCTCCACTAGAGCTATGGCTATTGTCTCGGCAGTGGCATCCGCTATCGGGATCGCTTCGGGCCAACGGGTGAACCTGTCGATACAAGTCAGCAGATAAATGTGCCCTTTCGAGGGCGGTAGTGGCCCAACAAGATCAATATGAACGTGTGCAAAACGGGCATCGGGGTTGGCAAAAGTGCCAAGCGGTGAGTGCGTATGACGTTGGATCTTTGCGCGCTGACATGGGATGCAAGTACGCGCCCATGTACAAATGTCCTTGTTCATACCCCGCCACACAAAACGGGCCGCTATAAGCTTTTGCGAAGCTTTAATGCCCGGATGCGCGAGATTGTGCAGATTGTCAAACAACGATCGACGGTGCGCTACCGATACATACGGCCGCGGATGCCCTGTGGACATGTCGCACCAAATGTGCGCGTCCCCTTCCGGAAGGAGGACCTTCTCAAATTTGAGCGAGGTTGACGTGTCTGAGCGCAGAGCAGCGAGCTCAACGTCATCGACTTGGTCGGTCGCGACTACACGCAGGTTAATCGAGTTCGGTAATTGCACTGAGTCAATCTCGGTGCGAGAAAGTGCATCAGCTACCTGATTATCAACGCCTCGAATATGGCGTATGTCGGAGGTAAACTGTGACACGTAATCGAGTTGCCGCGCTTCCCTAGGGGAATGTCGATCGGGCGATGTCTTGAGTGCGAAGGTAAGAGGCTTGTGGTCTGTAAAAACAAAAAAATCACGCCCCTCTAAGAAGTATCGGAAATGGCGTATTCCGAGGTAAATGGCTAGCAGCTCTCGACCAAAGGTACTATACCTAGTCTCGGGAGGCTTGAGGCGGCGAGAAAAGAACGCAAGCGGTCGCCACTCCCCTTCATGGAGTTGCTGTAACACACCACCTACGGCGAGA